ATTAAAATTTGTAACACTTTCATTTCTGAAGTATAGTAGCAATTTTGCACTTCCCTCCCCAACTTGTCCCATCCGACCTTTTTCACTTGCACCTTCTGTTGCGGAACCCCGTGGAAAAGCTCCTCTCGAGAGACTAACAAATCATCACGCTTACACTGGGAAAAATGCTTGAATACTTGAGTCAATATTTGTGGTAATTCAGGTGTAACTCAATCTTTTGTGCGCACTGCCGAATACAATTTACAATGCCCTCTGGAAAGTGCAGGTAAATCCGCAACAGCATTATGTATGTATGTATGGGCACATTTGCATGTGCGGGGATAAATGAAAATGAATCAAGTGAAAGGATACTTTACGAAAAGATTTTGCATATAAAGCAAGCTTGAGTGTGCAGATAAAAATAAAAAGACACCATTTTGTGTCATAATTGTTTCTTTTGCACTCGAATTGCCATCGCATTTTTGGTTATACATTATATCAGGTGACATGGCAGCGTGAAAAAATCGGCACTTCTCTATCTCTCTCGCACTGAACTTGTACGGTTTCGTCAGCGGCCAAAGCTTTGACTTGTGCAGCGAATGCAAGAAGCCCGAGCCAAACCGCAATGACCATTCATTTTATTGCCTTCCACATTACAGAAATCATCTGACTGGAAACCTGAATCAAGCTGTGATTAAAATTGATTTTAGTTTTTTTTTGCCCTAAAATGAGAGTATCGGGTTTATGGTGTAGATAAAAGTTTTGGGTTAAGGCACCGTGGTATATAGCAATCTTGAAAATAAGAATAATGTGGTGCAGTGCTGTAAATTATGTATGCATTTCGAGTTTTTCGAATTAAACGAAGGTTGCGTACAATTTCGGTTAGAAGGTGGATTTACGACTGATTGACTGAGATCAGTAATTCCAAGGGCACGAAAGTTAAGTATGCAAAAGAATAAGATCAAATTCAAGACTTTGTATTAATTAATCAAATTCATTTGTGCGACTTTGTGAAACTCGGGAATTTTTCAATATTACTTAACAACTATCGAGACCCTCAAATCATAGGAATTACTCCACTAAAGCGTTCCATATCGTGGCTTGTATCTCCTCAATTGAATCCAAACTATTTTACATCACGAGTCTTTTCAGCCTCAAAATTAATTTAGATTGACAAACGTGCCAAACAGGAAGCTCGTTTGCAAAATTTGGAGGGAAGAAAAAATGAGAGTCATCCAGTGAGAGATGAATCGCAGTTGAGAAGGAGTCGCTCAACTGCAAAAATGACTTTCTCCCACGAATATTCATGCGCGAGATCAATAAAAATGTGAATCATTTTTGCTTTCAGTTAGCGAAAATAAACACTTCCTCTCACCGCTCGATGAAAACGAGAATTTTGCAGCACACCCACTTCTTCGTCCTGAACATTTAATTTACATTCATCTCATAATGTGTAACAGCACGTAACATTCGATCTCATAACTTTGGTTTTGCTCTGAGACGAGGGCAAAAGGGGTATCGAGGCCTTCGGATCTCAAACCTAAAAAGTCTGATACATTCTAAACGATGACTGAGAAGGAAAAATCCCGAAATATCACATTACACGCAAGGTTTTGCAAATCAAACACGCATATTTAAAGATTTTTAGAGTAAAATTGGGTTCGCTTGAGAGTTCTCATGGAGTTGCCACATAAAGCAACCGCCAAACTATCGTGTGCATTTAATCACATCCAATTAATTTCCAATTAAATGTTCACTGGCTTGAGATTAGCTTTTTCCTCTTTCCACCTTAATTGCGCTCTCCTTCATGGAATAAGGAATCGTACTTGTGCATATTTCTCTAAATTGAGTGAGAAATTCCTCGGCAGAACACCAATTTGTCTTGGACCGCTAAATTGTTTGAATTTTGATTATTGAGTGTGATAAAGTGGGTTTCAAACTAACTCTCATCGACGTCATGAAGTGCTCGATATTTTTTTATAGCCTCTGTGGTACGTGTTTAGAAGAAGTGAAAGATTTTCTTACAAAACGTAGGAGATTGACTATTTTATTTATTTTCTGCAGCCGCTTAATTGTGTAACGTTGTATGAAATTCAGGTCGATCACACCATATTTGTTAATTTTCTGCACTTCTATTTACACGTATGGGAAAGACGTCCAGAAGATTTGTGCCTTAAAATTTTCCAGCAACACACAAGCTGATCATTTCTTCTCTAAAAGCATGTCCTCCAGTAAATTATGCATCGTGTCACTCTAAAAGTGAAGTTGCAACTTTGGTGTTTCTGCACTAGTGCGCAATGGATTTGGAGTTTATTATAACGGAAAGACTAGACATGCCTTAAGAACTGACCCCAAAAAATGGTCGTAATTAATATTAACTCATGTGATAACTTGCCTTCTGCGAATGCGGTCGCTTCTATGGGCAAAAAACTAGAAATTTGTCCATTAATTTAAATGCAACTCTGAGAGAACGATCACACACTGTTCCCTTGAAATTCTTAGGTGTCTTTCAGATTTATGATCACACAAGAGCTCCGCTTTTCGTAATTCGATCAAGTGCGGCATATCTTATGATCATTCAAATCACGATTGAAATTAATTTTAATGACTGAACAATATTTGATTAGGGGAAGACTTTGCCAACTGCCTGGATTTTTATTATTATTATTATAGTTCTATTGCGCAGAGGAAAACAAGCAACATGAAACAGTCGAAGGTATGGTGAGATCTGTGAATTGCATGAAGGAAATTATCAATTAACGTGAATTAATGAATTGGAATTTGAATAGGAGGAATAAGAAAGTGAAATTCCTTTCCTATCTAATCCCAGGAACAAGTCGCATTGCCCAATTCTCGTAGGAGTTCAAATACTTCGTCTCCATTTGAGAAATCATGGTCTTAACCAACATAGCGTAACGCTGCTTTTGTGCATTGCCATGGGCGAGCATTAATAATTCTCTCAATCACTCTAAATAAACACACGGTGATTTTGTCACATTCCAATATTGGCCGAAGGGAGCAATAAAGTCCGCCGTCGCATTATGTCTCATATGAATAAACTAAAATTATTCATTACGGGTGCATGTGTGAAACAGTAGATTGTTACCTGAATGCTATCAGGTGTTGAAGCGGCACAAGACATGTCTTGCGGTGTGGCTGTAGAGGACTTGAAGAGGGAAGAGGAAAAAAACGTATCATACGTATATTGTTTTGCAATAAATTCAGTGCAGGGCACTAAATAAACACAAAGCGATCTCATTCTTCTAAGCCCAGCTGCTGTTTTTCTGTTGCTGCTTTACGATCAAGATTTAGCAACACTCTCCGTTGCTCTTAGAAGAAACACACCAAAGATTTTATATACCATACACACTATTTCAGTGTGGATTTTTGTGCAATTCCTGTACACAACCTACCTGAGATTTTGATTGTACAATAATCGCATTCCATCCAGTAAATCTCAAAATAGTTCTCTTTCTTTTTATTGATCACCTGACTGCCGGGTAGTGGGACAATTAAAATTATCTTAGGCTAATGAACGGCACACAAAGCCCAGCGCCAATTTCTTTCAAAATGTTTGAGCACAATTTGCCAATTAAACTGATTGATGCTGAAATTTTTCCAGACTCTGTGTTTTATGGTAGCTAAATATTTCACATTTTTTCCTCTACCTTTACTTTATCAATCTTGAAATGTGAACTGAGAAAACAACAATATCCACTTGAGTGAGTTAAATCATAATTTATATTTGATAATTAAGTGCGATTTTTGACGTGTCTTACGTAAAGGAATGCTACAAAAAATTGACAATTTCTTAATAAATCAACTATGCATATTAGGTAAAGAGATATCAATAAATTTTTTAATATGATAGACAAAAAGAATTTGATCAGCGAGAGTTTTGTCCAAAAACACCAACACCATTGATGAATTATGTCATTAAAATTTCTCCACGTGAAAAAGAATTGCTACCAGACGATTTCGCTTTTTGTGAAAGGAATCTCGCGCATGGCAGGCAATTCCTCATCTTTATCTGTTACCTCTTTTCCTCTGCCTCGGCACAAAAGAGAGAACCTTTCATCATGTGCAACTTATGAGCGGCGAAAGTGGTCCAAATTGCATAAATGTTGCAACGACAGATACTAAAAATTTAACTTTGACCATCAATAGTGGACCTTCAAGGCCGACAGACACGCAACTCTTTTTTCCCTCGAAGGTACACAAAAGAATGAGATATTTATTGAGTATAAATTTACAAGACAACTCATGGGTGTGATTTTTTATGTGAAATCTCTTGGGGTAACGCTTGTGAAAATCGATTGCGGGCGGAGACAAATGCTCGACTCAAATTTTAGCCCCTGGCGATGTATCGAGTAGCCAGAGACTTTTTCTTAGCAAGCGTTCCACGGAAAGGTTCTTATTTAGATCACCGTGATAGATAGCAAATTGTGTTATCCGGTGTAGATTCATAAATATGCACTTTATCCAATCCCCGATGGTTAGTGAATATATTTAGGTAATTCAATTATTTTTTTTTTTAAGAATTAAAGAACATTTATTAACCACCCTGGGCGATGGTTAGTCCAAGGATACATTTTTATAATTGCCATCTTTGACTGTTCTTGATTGATTTTAGGGTCAAGTGTATTTAAGTGGAATGTTTTACTAACTTAACAATTTCGACATTTTTCCTCGAGCAACAGTTTCTATTCATTTCAAGGATTGAAGACTAATTTAAGGGCTACGTTAAAAGTTAAAGAAATTTCACATTAAAACCTCTTACTCTCATTGGGATTTTTCAAAGGATAAAATAATTGTTACACAAACGACTAATTTGACAGTTATTAAAGACATATTCAAAAGTGTTCTGATAAGTAGAAGAAAAATACTGCCTACTTTCCGGTGAAAATTACTCACCTGAGTTGAATGACACTTGATCGCAACATTTTAACTTAAAAACCTTCTATTTTAAAAGACAACATTTATTTTGAAGTTCAAAGGAAAGTAAAGCACACATTTTTTGCTTCAACTATTTTTTTTTTATTTCGCCTCCCATTTCATCCTTACAAGCTTATTTATGTCGCGTACTTTTGTGAAACATGTTAATTTTGATGGACCGCAAAAAGCGTTCATTTAACAATATTAGCCTATAGAAAAACGAAATAGTGTCATCAATAAATAAAATTTACTGTAAGCACGCAGAACTTCGTCACGAAACATATAGAAAGACACTGCACGACACCGCGACAGAACGACAATCACTAAGTTCATTTTATTAATTGCTCCATCGGATTACAAAAGTTAATGTAATACAGACAACAGAATCTGTCACTTCACTCACCAGTCATCACTTCCATAAATTCTGTAGAGGAAAAGGTAGAAAGTGAGTCTCGAATGTCATTAAATGTGTTTCAAAATTGGATTTATTACCTTCGAAATCGACTGTTCCTGAGCCATCAGCGTCAATTTCGTCGATCATCATGTCAAGATCTTCATCGCTTATCTTATCGTCGAGCTCATGAAGGATATCTCTCAGGACTTCAGTTGTTAAGTATCCAAGTCTCTCCTTGTCATACAGTAGAAATGCTTCTCTCAATTCCTCACGGATCGCATCTTGATCCTCCTCAATGTCCACATAAACACCGGCCAGAGCGCAAAATTGTTCGAAGTTCAACTTACCTGTTCTGCGTGGATCGTGAGTTCTGATCAGAGTTTTGAGTGATTGATCATCAAGCTTGTGTCCTGAATATTGAAAGGAAAATTTCTGATTTATTTCATTCCATGATATTATTATAATAGTCAATCCTCACCAAGCATTTCAAGAATTGTGCCAATATCATCTGTCAAGACGCTATTGTCTGTATCGAAGGCTTTGAAAGCGTTCTGCAGAACTAACAAACAATAATAATACCGAGCTCAATATAGAGTGAAAGTGAGATTTGTCAGAAAATACTCTTACTTTTAAGGGTTTCCTCATCGAGCAGTTCCTGTAAAGTAAACAACATAGAGAGATGTTTTCGTGAGAGCTTTTCATAATATGGAGAGTATATTAAAGTAACGTCTTTCCACGAATGAACTGTGCCATCAAATTTCAGTACTTTCTTTATTTACCCAATAAATACGCCACTATAAATAAAGTCTGGTACAAATATTTACATGATGGAAAACATTTTATTATTATAACACTTATTACGAACACGGACTAAGTACAAATTAAATTGGTTTTAGCACTGCTATGTACACCGAAAATGCTCCGATTTATCCACAAACATGTTGGAAAGTGGCCAAAATGTGAGAGATGCACTTCATTCTGACTCTTCCTGATTCAATTTTGGGTGTGAGAAAAATTCCATTGAGTTGCCGCAAGACACCATCAGTGAATCAGTAAAATATGGTGATTTATTTAGAGCGATATATGTAGGTTTTATTATAAAATTATTATAAAACAACAAATAGATACATTTTCGATTCACAAATTACAATGGGCATCGCTAGAGAGAAGAGTAATGAGCCTACAAGGATGACTTTACATTGTGGCATAACTGCAAAATCTCCTAAATTTTATTTCCTCTAACAATTTTATCAGTTTTCTTTTTGCTTGATATCTTGCAGAACAGAGAGAAATGTAACACAATGTTGTAATATTTTGTATTCACAAGGACTGATGATATTTTCACTGAATATGATTAACCTGTCATGACTTCCATGAATTCTGAAAGAGTGACAAACAGAAAAAAGAGAGGGTAAATGAGGTGAAAATTGCACAAGGCGAGAAATGCGATATGTACCGTCGAAATCAACAGTTCCTGAACCATCGGCATCGATTTCGTCAATCATCATGTCGAGGTCGTCCTCGGTTATCTTATCGTCCAACTCCCTCAAAATATCCCGCAACACCTCGAGTGTCAAGTAGCCCTTGCCCTCCTTGTCATAGAGTCGAAAGGCTTCCTTGAGCTCCCTCTGAACGGCTTCGAAATCCTCCTCAACCTCCACATACTTTGACGCCAATTGGGCGAACTTTTCAAAATCTAACTTGCCAGTCTGTCGCTGATCGTGTTCCCGAATTACTGTGGATTTACAGATTAATTGATCAACCGAGAGAAATTAACCCAGACACGATGGACACGATTGAGCAGTACCTGCTTGCAGAGACTTGTCGTCCAGTGTCTGGCCAAGCATTTCCAGAATCATCCCAATCATGTCAGTCTGAATGTAACCATTCTTTTCCGTGTCAAAAGCGTCAAAGGCATTCTTCAGCACTGTACAATTTTTCAATCATTTTCATTACTTTTTCCAAGGACCCTAAACTAAAGTTCCTGCACTTACGCTTGAGCTGATCTTTGTCGAGTTCCTGCGCCAAATTGCGGGGGGAATAAAAATTATTTTAAAATATAGCAATTTAGAAAGAAAAATTCTCACGGGTGTAAAAGAAATCCCTTAGCAGAAACAGAACAAAGCGAGTTATCAAAGCCAAGAAGTATTTATGTTCGTGAATAGCATTCAATAAGTGTCTCAAATCACCTTCAAATATCATTGAATTGAGATAAGAAAGCAAGAAATATCTGAGTAAAATATACAGTAAAATATTTCAAACTCTTCTATAGCTTTCGGAATCAATCAATCGTCACTTAACACGAAAAAGGCTTCGCGACTTGTATTCCGAATAGAATGCTCTCCTTATGAATCACATCTTGATTCAGGCATTGAAAAAATGTGTCATCACATAGAGTGCTTAATAAAAAAAAGAAATTTATGCATTTTAAGAATGGATTTTGAGAATTCTTCACGTCTTTCTCACTAAGAAATAACAAGAAGGCATTTTAGGCACAATCAATCAACACTTATCTATTCACGATGAAGCCACACACATATTTTTCAGATAAATAACCCCTTGACAGCAGCAAAAATATATATAATCACTTGTGATTGAAAAAGTTCTTCCTATCGCAATTAAAAAAGGGGAAAATTATGAAATTTGCTTGTGAATTTTCTATGCACACAATTGATGATTTATTTGCACAAAAAGTGTCGGAGTCGCATTACAGTCAATCATGAATGACACAAAAAATGCAGAAACACGGCAGTTTTTTCCACAGAATTTTAGTTAGGACAAACTCTCACTATTGGAAAGTGCATGTGATTTTTTGCAATATGAAAAAAATCCGGATGAGAAACTTTTCCCAGAAAAAAAGTCCTGAAGAAAACCAGCAAAAATCACTCACCATTGTGGTTGATTGCGCACAAAAAACTGATTATGGAAAGAATAAATTTTAGCAATTTGATAGTAGTGGCAAAAGAAGTTGGGGACTGGGCGAAACTCTTCTGAGAACTGCGTAGAACCAGGTCAGTCGGAACACTTGCACATAAATTGACTGAGCACAGCAATTAAAGTGCGGAGATCAATTAAACTTATAATCACGGCAGATTATTTCTAATCGCTCTCTGAACTCGGTTTGGCCATTGATGCCGAGTGTCAATAGTACCATTTTAAATTAAACTTTCGCATCAGTGGCGGATTCAACGATTTCTCGGCCGAATCGTGTCTCTGCGTTGATGTCCTTCTACTTTCCGAACCGAATGTGGCCAGTTGAGCCATATAAATCATTGAAAAGTTCCTATGAAATGCCGGAAAATTTGACATTTCTGCAGGGGCAAATTTGCATTTGGCTCTCAACTGATTTTCACAGTAGGAGAAAATCACCGCGAAACTTTCGATGAAAACCTCCATCCACCTCTGGATTGCCACTTAGACGCGCGACGATTCATCAGTTCGTTAACCGACTATAAATTCGATTTAAAAATATTGCACAGTGCATTGCAAGTATGCATCCCAGCAATTGGATATATGCATGTGGAGGTGTAATGCCTCAAGATAGGTGGAAATAAGTCATCATTTCACGTGTCATTGGCGAGACCATCCTCTATTACACATGCTAACAAATAACTATATCATAGACGTACGAGTTTAATTATATAAATTGAATTAATTATAATCATTTATACAGAATTTATTTTCGAATGGATTTATTTTTGGTATTCGATCGAGCAATTTACAGCTGATTAAAAAGATTTGCTTAATGTGCAATTTTGCCCCTCTTCCTTGTACTGATTGATCGCATGCGATGAGGGATTTATTCACCAGTCATAACCTCCATGAATTCTGCAATGGTGACAGAAATAGAATTATTGCTAGACACCAAAATAGGATGGCATTTGGCTCAGCTCTATTACCATCAAAGTCCACGGTTCCCGAGCCATCGGAATCGATCTCCTCAATCATCATGTCTAAGTCCTCCTCCGTGATTTTGTCGTCCAGTTCCCGAAGGATCTCCCGCAGAACGCCAGTGGTGATGTATCCGTTGCCCTCCTTGTCGTACAGACGGAAAGCCTCTTTCAGCTCTGCCTGCATCGCCTCGGCGTCCTCCTCAACCAGGAAGCGGGCAGCCAAGGTGGCGAACTCCTCGAACTCAATCTGACCGGATCCATCAGCGTCCACTTCTGCGATAATTTCATCCAGCATCTTCTGGTCGAGCTGATGTCCCAGCATTCCCAGAATTGTGCCCACCTAAAGTAGAGAATGTGCGGAATATTTGAGTGACATTTCCACATATAAATGAAATTTTCATGAAAATTATGATCCCGCATGTTGTACACAGAAACTATTTAAAGAACAATTTCTTCAATTACTTAGAGAATGTCTCTAATACAAAATTCATATAACACTAGACACATCTTTTGCATTTCTAATTTTGTAATAATGATTCTCACCGATTTCTCTATACACAATTTTGCATAAAGTTCTTCACAGTGCAAAAACTATATTTTAGATGATTGCTCCAAATTCACATACGAAATTAATATAGTCATTTGCCACATTGATTCTATCTTTTTCCACTTAATCGAGCAATATCTTACCATCGTGGCTTCGATGAATCCCTGCTTTTCCTGATCGAAGGCATCGAAAGCCTTCTTCAGCACTGCAAGAGAAGAAAAATTCACATGATAATTGACACAAATTAAGGAAATTGCAGTCGTGAGAAGGCAACTTACGCGCAACTTGCTCCTTGTCCAAATCATCCTTCACATTATTGCAACGGCCGCAGAGCGGAAGAAGAGAAAGATTAGTAATGCCACTTTAATTAGGGTGGATGTCGCAAATTCATGGGAGCTGATGATTTATTGAGTGGCTCTGGATATTGGGGAGGTCATGAAAAATGGTCAGTAATAGTGATAAACATAATTAGGCACGTAAATTTTACGGGATGATGTCACTTCGGGGCACATATCTCAATCTCCGGATGCGCATTTTGGGATTTTAATGAACAACGGGGAGGTCTTATTAATAAATTCCTATAATCACTGGCTATATACTCCAAAAAGCACACTCTTGAGACACTTCCTAAAAGCTAAATTCGTCTGAGATTTGATGATACTAACCATTGCGAAAAGACTTTAGTGGCGGGCTCTGGCAAGTAAAAATTTTCGCAGTCAATTGCCGAAATCACGGAACAACTTCGACATGTAATGCAACCGAATGAAGTGGTGGTCGGTGGTTTAAAGCGCGAAGTGGCGAAAAGTGTGGGATTTACCACAGATATTGCGGGCTACCTCGAAAATTTTATAGTTGTTTTTTGAAATGTTGTGAAAAGTTTCGCTAAAGTTGAGTTTTAACCCGATCTCGTGAACTATTTTCAATTTACTTGTAAGACTCTCCCATCGACTCATGGGAGGTTTTATGATGTATATTATTTTAAGGTATTTTCTGTATGGGGCGAGCAAGACTGAATAATACGGCACCCAAGTCACTCGTGTGCTGATAGACAGGCACAAATTGCTCTTGGGATTTTATTCACTCGCAAGTGCCACACAGACACCCAGTGCCTCATCCTACCGAGAGGTGGACCATGGCATTGGCAGCTGTCGTTCAGCCTTTTCGCAGATATTAGCAGAAACTACTTAGAAACAGGTGTAAATTGTATATAGTCGATTTCAATATTCATTGTCTTTTTTACACATAGCGCAGTGTTCGTTACCTTCTCAGTTATCCGCAGACACACACTCACGCCCGTGTGCGCCAACACAATGGAATCACTCTAGGCAAAAGGATTATGAGCTAAATTTGACGCACAGTCGTCACAATAATTAATAGCGAATATGCTGTGATTGATACTCGAGCCAAAAGACAGGATTATTCTACAGAAGCTCCAGACAAATTTGTACGCAATTATGATTGATTAAAGAAAAAAGATTCAGAAATTTTATTTGAAATTTACTCAGAAGACTTCTAACGTCTTCTATTGCTACTTTTCCCCCAAGAAATTCGATAACATGAAATGAAGTGATGGGTTAAGAAATTATAATCGTCACTATATTGTTAATTTTATTGTGTATAATTGTATACATTTTTTATTTGACATCCTCAAGGTGCACTATTTTAATTGAGTGGAGAGAAACAATACAGAAATAGGGCACCTTGAAAACACTGAAACCATCTCTAAATATTTTCACAATAGTGTAAGGAACAAGATGTGTGCATTTGCCAAAATCTGTCCGAATCATCTCTCACATCTCTGGTAGGTTTTCCCTGATTGTTGCAAATTTTCCAACGTCACACGGCTGACAAATTGACACGAGACAGAAGAGAAGGATTTATGCAAATACTTTGTAATGTTGTGTAAGCTGATGCGTTACCGCGGAACTACTCATACAGCTCGTATATGTTCTCATTGGTGGTGTACATGGAGGTGGTTCTGGTGGAGGGCGCGTCGGTGGTGAGACTGGAGTTCCTTCGTGGATGGGGTGGCAGCGGCGGTGGGCGATCCAGGAAATTGTCCTCCAAGTATATAGAGTTCTGGTAGATATAATTGGCCTTGTCCATGCGCCAGGATATATTGCTGAAACGCGGAGGATTTATGGCTGAGACGTAGCTCCGGCCGCTGCCAATGCTCGTGTCGGAGAGACTTCGCAAGAAGGGTGGCTTTGAAGTGGATGAACGTGGCGTAACGGAGGCTCTCGGCGGATATGATGCAACCTCGGAGGTTGGACACTTCTTGGGCGTGAAGGTGAATTTGGCACGTTTTATCAGAGCCGAGCAGTGGCGGATGCTGCAGAAAAGACAAACTGCTCCAACGGCGGCACTCAGAAGTAGAGACGTGATCATTAGCGTAATAAAAGCTGCTTGGTTAAAGCACGTAACGTGCTTTTCATCCGGATGATCAGGCTTCTCATTAGGCGGCTTTTCCGTCGATGATATGTTCTCTGTTGGTTGCAAAGGGTTCACTTCGGTTGTCTCAATTATGTGTGTACTTGGTGGTTTTGGCGATGGCACAGTTGGCGTTGGCGTTGGATTAATGCTCTTGTCACAAGTATTGCAATCGCTCACAAATTCCTCCCAACATTCACTCGGCAGCATGCATGTCAACGGAAAGGAGAACATGTATCTAGTTTTGGGAGTGTCCAGATAAGTCTGAAGCTGCTTGAGGCCACAGTTGCACTTCAAGGGATTTCCAAGGAGGTCTATTAGAGCGCCTTCATTTTTCAGGATCAGGTCGAAAACTCTACTTGGAATGCTTTCAATATTGTTTCCTCTCAGTGACAGATATTTTAGAAATCTTGAATGATCAAATGTACGCGAATCAAGTTTGGGAATGTTAGATTCTCCCAATTCCATTATTATGACATTCTGAAGAGCCGCGAAAGAAAATTCATTTAGTGGCCCAAGATGGTTGTACTTAAGGCTCACGTATTTCACGCTAGAAAGGCTCTTACTGAAGTTACCAGTGATATTTTGCACTGGAAAGTTCGCTAACAACATCTCTTCGAACACCAAGACGTTCAGGCTATTTGCGAAAGGCACAAACACTTCATTTCTAAAGAACCTCAACGGCAAATTAATCAGTTCCAGTCTTTGGAGCGCTTCTAAGCCTTTGAACGTGTTTTTTGAGCACAGCTTCTGCACTTCCACGTTCATCATCACAAGTGTTTGGAGTTTCTCGAAGCAGCGTGATGTGAAGGACTTGTCTTCGATGTATTTTATGTGAGAATTCATAATTTTAAGTGTGTTGATATTGGCTGTGGTTTTTAACCAATTCTTAAGGATTTTCCTCCTTGGAAAACTGCAGTGATTTAGCTCTAAATTTATTTCCTTGCATTGGCTTTCCTGTAAAGGCAATAATCTATTAAACATATATAGGATAAACAAACAGAATGCTCTTGAATGATAGCTAACGAGAAAATAACGCTCATTTCCCGTTTGTTATCAGCCACTTAGCCGCACCTGATACATACATAACTGCGTAATGTACATATGTATTCCGAGGAAATTTTGAACTCACCCTGTGAAAAGTGTCAATAATCCAAGTTAAGTGATTAATCCTTCCATTAGTGCAGGTTATATTGCAGGATGACATGAAGCAGAATTCTATGAACGCCGTTGATCCGTGTGTCGACGGTTGATATCTTTCCGAAGTATCTTCTTCCCCTTTTTGTCCGTCTGTTGCAGAATCCCAGATTGTTGTCTGCCAATCAGTGATGGTTGAAAAGTCAGTGCTTTCAACTGTTGAGGAAACTTCCGTGGTGGTTAATTCAAAGATGGGCGTTGAGGTGATGTCTGGTGGCGGCGACGGCAGCCTTTAATCCATAAATTACTCTAATTACTTCAACTTTCACATGCACTGAAATAGACACTTACACTGCAGCCGTGCTCATGGTATTGGCCAGGACGATCGCAAAGAGCAGCATGAATGATAGAACACCAAAAATGATAGACAAAATCTTATTCCACCGCCTATCCCACTCCTGAATTTTGATCCAACCTTCACTTTGCTTGGGCTTTTCGAGAGTGAAACTTCGTGATTTCGACTTGAGCATCGCACCTCAGGCACAACAATACCACATCGATCTGCAGATCAGAATGGGCGTAGTGGAAATGGCATGGAAATCTATTGTTGCGAAACTGATAAGATTTTTGTCACCGCAGCTCGTGTACATTAATCGATCGGAATGACTGCGGTGGGATCTTGTAATGAAATTATTTATTCAGAGAAATACCCTCTGGTATCTCTGCTTTGACGCCATAAACATATGCAAATCCTTATCAGTTGCTGATTTTCATGTTTATGTAAATGTGCGCGATAAAAGGCTCATATAATCCTATTTGTATTTCAATGCGGCGCCAAATGAGGGGTTTTTGATTTCTCGAAAGCTTCTCCACGTGGAAAATCAATGTATCATTAAAATGGTGAGATGCGAAAGACGATGTGGAAGTGGAAATCGAAAGCATCCCTTTCAAAATCACATTTTGATCAGATGTGTTGGTAAAAGGAAGAGCAGAGATGCTTTGATGGTGGAGTATTCTGAGAGATATGAAAGCGTAGCTGATAAACGACTTGGGGAGAGCTTTGCAGCAAAAGCTTATTCGTGTTTTGAACTTTATGGACTTTAAAGATAAAATACCCCTAAATATGATTAATGTCTCCGTAAATAACATTTATTTATGGAGTCACATATATATACGGATTGTAGTTGTGATGGTTTCACAGGACAATTATTCAGCTAAGAAGAAAATGCTCAGAGAGATAATAAGAAGGCCAGGATTAAGACGCACATTTCACGAAATCAAAAGCCGGATTTATTATTATTTTTAAATAGGTAGTTTTTATACGATTAATGTAATACACAGAAACATTAATAGTGAATTAAATATGATAAGAGTGATTACTCATAAAACACTAAATATTTATGTGTACATATACTTGTCTTACATCCTAATTAGATCCTTAACTCCATCAAATACATTTTGACTTTTCATGCAGTGTTTTTCTCTCATTTTGGTATAATTAATTTTTTTTATATTCCACTTCCAAGGAGGAATGTCTCAAATTGAATGTCTTTCCGAATTGACAAAGATTTGCTAAATCTATCCAAAGTTTGATAAATCATTCCCAATTTTTTTGCGATAAATTCATTAATTTACATGTCTCAAGAGGGATCAGAAAAAAGTAAATTTCCATAAATATTCACTTCAGTAAAATTTTCCATAAATTCACAAAACACTCGCTTCCATAATATGTCTCTTTGCGTTTAACGTTGGAAAACACAGAACTGTGAAATACAATTCTTCCAATTTGTAGCAGATCTTAGAATTAATCAAAATTATGGTATATCTTATCAACTATGATGTGTTATAGAGAAAGGCATCTGTCATAAAGAGGCTTGATCTAATTCTCTTTCGTCTCTTCTTTGTAAGATAATTAATAAAAACACGGCATCCTGACCATTGTGCACCCTGTTTTATTTCTTATCTATTCTTCCCTCTGACAGAACTGGATATGTATGCGACTTTGGTTTCACTCCTATCAATCTCTTAGCATTTAACAATAAATTTGAAATTTCACATTTTTCACATTACACTGAGAGTATTGTAGAAATTTTCACTGTTTTACACAAAAATGCTCAATTTACGATGATATGTATCGATATTATTTCAAGATATGTCTCAATTATCTTTTAATTAGTTTTTAGAAAATAACAATTTCTTGATTACTATCCAGCGAGTTATCTTTAACATGATAATTCATCACAGCATCTCCCAATTTTTTTTTTAAACTTTGTTTTCTATAACAATGAGACGAAAACTATCTTCCAAATAATATAATTTCATCAAAATACATAAAATAAAAAGATCATTCTAGCGCTAAAAACAAGCTTTTCATTTGCGCCTAGCAATTTTTAATTTTCATATTCATTAGCATTAAAGTTGTAAATAAATTTAAACAGCAAAATTTAGTGGCGATTTCTTTATCCAATTTTGCTAAAAATATTCCCAATTACAATAAAGTTTTTAACAGGTTAATATGCCAATTTCTATAAAAACTTTCTTGTTTCAATATATTCTCAAAGAAACAGAACTTTCAAAATATCTCTTACAAATTTTTTTCCAAGATTTAAAATTTTTCGAAAAAAAATTAAAAACCGTCAAAGTTTCAAAGTATGCAATTTCTAAATATTTCTTAAAGTTTTTTTTTCATAATTTTTTCTTTTATCCTTCCATCTTACTAATACAATAAAAGTGTTATCATTATACATAATATCGTTACGTGTTATTTCTCATATCTTGTCAAAATTGTATATTTAATATCATCTCTTGTACTACCGAAAACACGACAGATTTCGGATCCATTTATAAAATTGTGTCTCAAATATCTCACTCACTAAATATTACTTTAATTGAGTTTTTGGTATTTGCTTTCCCGTCTGTTATACCTCTTTTCATCTTTACTTAAAAACTTATGTTTTTTCGTTAATATACATATTATTTCAAAAAATGTAAATATATGTCATCTCTTTCAATAATATACATTAATAATTCATATAAAAATGTTGTGATATGATTGCAATTCACAGATTTTCTTATCATTTTAATTCTAACTTGTTTTACTTAAAACTTTTCTCTGAACTCCAAAATTAGCATTGTTGCAATAACGCGTTAACCATCTATGGAAAATGAAACATTTCTCTTTCTACAAAATGTTTGCTATCGCCCATCGATAATGGTGACAAAAATTAATCCTGTTGAATCCTCCTTAGTCACCCTTTCTAGCCGCTGACACTCGGCTCAGGTGTTTGCCTAAGAAGAACGCAATCTAGACCAATTGATGTTATCCTCATGTTTCCTCATTCATATCTCTATCTCGATTTGTATTGCGATCATAGGGATTCTCCATAAATCAATAAATTATGCAAGTTAACATGAACCAAACCATATCGAATAAGCCCATTGAAACGATCAACAGCGTGCTAACCAGTAAGTTTGCAGATTCCCCATATAAGTTCATTCCTTGTTGCCCATTGCTCTTCCTAATGCAATTCATTCGCTCAAGCGGCATATTCTGCACAAAGTATTCCCTGTTCTCGTTCGGCATCGTGCACATGGGTCTCTTCTTCTGGGTCATTTCGTCGTCTCGATTCTTGAGGTCTTGCAGCAAATTCGGGAACCAGATGAGTTCGCAATCGCAAATTAACGGATTATCTGCAGAGTACAATTTGTGTTCAGAACAGTGACATATTGCGATATATCAATTTTGGGTTTACCCATTATATCAACAACTCGAAGTGTATCCATTATCGGCTCCATCACTTCCTCTGGAATCCGAACGAGCTTGTTATTTTGAATGCTAAGGGTTTCCAGAGAATTCAAATTCTCAAATGCCATGGCTGGAAGGACTTTGATGCTGAAAATACAATTATTGCTTTGTACAAATCGATTAGACAAAGCTCTCAATTCGACTTACTCGTTCTTCTGCAAATTCAGGAATGTAATTGAATCTCCAAAGCCCACAAAAGCATCCTCTGATATCACGCTTATGTTATTAGACCTCAGGTCTAAATGTCTGAGTCGATGGAGAGGCCTGAGAGCATCACTCGGAATGATGTGTAAATTGTTGTCACCTAATCTCAGATACTGGAGATTTTCTGAGGAGCGAGAGCAATTATAATTAATTCAAAAGAGCGACAACACATCTTAATATCAACAACATACCCTCCAAGCCGGCAAACGCGTCCTTGTCGACGTAGAAGATAGAATTTCCCTCCAATTCAAGCGAGTTGAGAAGAGTCAGATGACGAAAAACATTCGCGGGAACCTCAGTTAATTGGTTATGAGCCAGAATTAGCGAATCCAAATTGCGTAAACCTGCATGGGAAGAGCATGAGAGACAAATTATACTTTCTGCCGTAATGGCCCCCACCGTTTTTTATGGCTCTACAGTGTTTTATCATCCCCACGTGATGGTAGTAAAATTAAAAGCCATTTGACGGGAGCTTACTTAAATTTTTGCAATCAAGCGCTTAAATGACACCCCTGGGAGGTGATGACGGAGGAAAGAATGTAGTCTTTTGATAATTGCATACTTCAGCAGATTGGATGCTTTATGAGACGATTTACGTGAAATATTGAGAAAGATTTGCAAACCATCTTCTCGGAGCCACTTCATTCTGGAGGACGAGAGGCTAATATTTCAAATTAACACAAGTGTTTGCTTACCCTCAAAATCCCCATCCTTTATCTTCTTTATTTTATTCTCCTGAATTTCCAATTTCTTCAGTGTATCCAGAATGGAGAGAGCTTTTTGTGGCACTGTTGCCAATTCATTTCCACCCAGGTTAAGCCGCTTTAGTTTCCTAAAAAAAAAAGAAAACTTCACTTGTACTTCACCATCTTTTGCTAGAAGTATAAAAAGAATTTACTTATCGAGTCCTCGAAAAGCTTCAGGTTCAATCGACACAATTTTGTTCTCGTACATTGTGAGAATCTCAAGGGTATCCAATCCCTCGAAGGCTTTGTTGTGAATCTGAGAGATTTTGTTGTGATTCAGATTCAGAATCAGAAGATGGTGAAGATTTTTCACCGCATTCGATGGAACGTTGGATAGTTGATTTTGAGAAACATCTAACTGTGTGAGACCTTTACCTGCAGAAGAGAAAAGTGAGAGCATTTGTAGAGCTTACTTAGCCCCTATTTCACTTTAGCTTACCTAGAGAACTGAGAGCTGTTTCTTCAATTGCGGCCAAACTGCTGTTGTGAATAGTCAAGTGTCGAATATCCAAGGCGAGGAAAACAAAACCTTGTAGTTTCGGCAAATTATTGTGACGAAGCTTGAGGTAAAAAATGATGGGGCTCTTCCCTTTAAGCGTGCCCATGGCCTTGTTGATGTGAGTGATGTCTGTGGCTTCACACAGAATATCCAGGCCATTCTTCTTCACTTGGCAAGCACATGGGGAGATTTCAGCGGGAAGTGGACATATTTGTGGCTGTCCCGGCTGACCACTAACAGCAGGCAGAAGTTTAAACATAAGACCCAAAAGCACTAACGCCGCTCCCAGAATGTTTGATGAAAACATTGTCTTCCAGCTCTGGACACCGATAGCCTGCCCCGCTGATGAACAGCATACACTACAATCACGTCTGCAAATGGAAAGGAAGCACGTGAAATGCGATGAACGTGAGAAACGTGGATATACTTTTTATCTGGCGCAATATATCACAATTGAGTTTTAGCATAATGTATTCAAACGCGCCATGCTTCTATAAAAGAGCAGTAAAGGATTTGCAATAATATGAAACACGTGGAGGAGCAAGAAAGGATGATCGTAAAAATCTCTCTCGCAGCTCCCAGGCAAGAATTTATTCACAATATGAACACAATTTTGATAAACGAGATATGAATGGCGTTAGAGAGACGGTTTACATCAGGCAACATGACTGAAAACTCAAATACAGTCATCAATCACGAAACTTTCTGAAAATTCTAACTGCTTTGGGTAATATGCAGGTGAGCGTTCAAAATTAGGGCTTATTGAAAATTATTTATATGAAACGAAATGTTGAATCTAAAATTGTCAAACAATGCCTAAATATACATTCCGTTTAAATGATGATTTTGAATAAATAAAATGTAAACCATCTTATCAAAGCGTCCGGCAATAATTTATCTGATACAATTAGATGTCTATTTTATTATACTCTTTCAGCACCAATATTTATCAATTTGCCGGTGGGAATGGTGTAATTTGTGTTAATAGTTAATGAAGACAAATAGAAGTTTTTTGCCCTGAAAATCGTGGCTCTTGTCATTTTTTGTCCTCCTCAATAATGAATATGAATTTGCTTGTGAGAAGGAAAAAGGTATTAATTGCCCGTTTTTCACCCTTATATCAACGCGTGGAAGTGTAATTAAAATATGCTTAAATGAATAGTTAATCCATTGCGCAACGCAGGTGGAAGGAAGTAATCCCTATTGGATGCATTATATGAATAGCTGGTATTAATATGTAAATATACCCTTTGCTGTATGGTGGTTTATTAGAAAGTGAAATACAAGCAACGCAGGTTGTACTATAAATAGTGAGCGTAATGATAGTGTACATCGCAGTTCATTAAAGATTAAAATAGGAAAATCACACGAATGATGGTGAGTTATTAAAAGCTACGCCGCTGATACACTGTGCGGCAATTTCATTAAGTCTGATTGCTCTCTATTGCAGATTGAAGTACTGCTGATCTTCATTGTGTCCGCCGCCCACGCCCTGCCATCCCACAGTATGTGCCACAGGTCACCACATGCAGCCGTATCGTCGGAAGATGGAGCCGTTCTGTGCGCCCCTGCGAGTCCACAGGCAGAGTCATTTGCGAGATCCCCTAATTGGCAACCTATTCAATTTCCTGATGGGGTCATTAGGACTGATGGGAAGCGAGAGCAAGAAATCAAATTGGGCACTGAATCACCCGATGGTGATGGAGATTTAAGAGCAGCAGAGTCATTCAACACCGGCTTTCACATGTGGCCCTACAGGAAGCCATGGAGTTTATTTGGCCATGGGCACAACCACGGCTTCTGGCCGCCACCTTTGGGGGCGACTCCCTGGGGAGATCCCTTCGCGTGGCCACGACCGCCACTTCCCTTCCTCGGAGGATGGCCGTGCTGCTGAGTCCCAACCTTCCCGCCTCGCCACTTGCACATGCATGAAGGATTTTGGAGTAAAATGTAATTTTGAGTACCTTCAGCTTTTAATGTCGAAAACCATTCTAATTAAAAGGTTTTCCCGCGAGCACCGTGAAGAAAAATATTATTTATCAGTGTCTCATCAAGTGCTTGTTATTCTGCAAAACCTTTCTTATCTCATCTAATATTTATTCACAATGTATCCACCCTAAAACAATAATGAACAATTTTCCTGGCGTTTCACCAACACCTCATTTCCATTCTCGAACCATTTTTCTTAATAATGAACTCTTGAGCAACATAAATATCAGGCCCAAATAAAAATTCCCCGCCGCGAAAGGGAGAGGAAATGGCTCTTACACGATACTTGAATTAAATTCTGTGAAATGATAGTCAGTAATTCACTCAAAATGAACTCTATACCTAATTAAACAGGGCCGAAGGAAAATTCCAATGCTAAATTTCGTCGCAGGCTCCTTCGTAGGTAATTTTAGACGTTGATACGCCCTTAAAACATTATGAAGGCGTTGCGTATCTACAAATGTTTGAACTGACATTTATTGATCCATTGAGTGGACAAATTGCCGCGGTGTTTTGTGAATTATTGACATCAATATGAGTACTTTTTCACGCGAGTAATCAAGGGGCTCTTAAGCTATACAATATTATATGGGAGGAAGACGTATGATTATTGGAAATAAGATATGGCATTAGCCGAAAATGTAGATTAGAGATATCGCAAAAATTATGGCCACTCAATTCAACACTTATATATTAATTGTACGGCAGTGGCTAAATTTATGTATATATTATAGTGTAATTAATAAGTAACAGAGAATTTGTAACATGATATTAAGCATTTCTGTGATGTGTAATTTCGCCAATAAAAGTTACTTAAAACACTTTTGAATTTATGTCAGCACTCGAAAATGGAACTTGCTGATAAAATAGTTATGAATATATGCTGAAATGGAGATAAAGTTGGAATACTGAACATATCAATTTCATAGTATTCCACAATTGAAACCGCTCTATGGCTTTTCATTTTCATGTTTGAGGAATGAACCATAACAAAAGCGGATGCATAAATACATATTTCCCACCATGTAATACATATGTAAAGAGGTACAAAATGGGGTGCAGAATCCCCAATTGTTCTATACAGAAATGTAAGACAAAAGCTGTTATTGAACATCTCATTTTCCTGGGTTGAAAAGGAAAAAAAACTTCACTGAGACAGTCCAGAAAGTCTTATCAAATTTCACATTATAAAAAGTCTATTTCACTCACCAGTATTCTTTTGAATCAGCTTGTTGGCTTAAACGTCCCATTTCCTATTAAAAGTAACCTTGAATGAGAGATTTTACAGGAGATTTTTAGAACATTTTCTACACCAAAACAACATTTTTAGAATGTAAGTAAAATAAAGAATAACACCTGAGCAAAAATAATCACAAAAAGCATTAACGAGAAATTTGTTTATTATACACTGTGATTAAAGTTGTCACTCGGAACTGATCAATTTACATAATATCAAACAAGGGTCAGTCACAATGAATGAACTGTGAAGTTCAAGTTCTCACAGTAATAACAATGATCATTTGAGGGCATTGGCACTAAGGGCCAAGACCTTTGTTGGCTCCCCAACAGAAGAGATCATTTTGAGACAATTCAATTAATTGTCAGACTGGTTAATTGATTGATTTCACACTTTATTGTCAGATACAATTAATGGCGGAAAAGGAATACTAACTAATTGATAGAAAGTGTGTTTGTAACTCCTTCGACAAACAGTCTAAACAACATTACAGTCGATCAATATATCGTTTAGGAGTAAATTCAATTGCTATTAAATTTGATATGACATTTCTGACATATCGTAATTTCAATCATATCTCTCTTGAAAATATAAGTAAATATACATGACTTTTTCTACCCTTCTTTTTCATCTCGCTCAATTTTGCCGGCTGTATGAACAAATTATGTACATAGTAGTATTGGTAAATGACAGAGCTGCACTTAAAATGCTTCAACATATTGTGTGATTTTCAATAATTTCGTATAAATATATTTTATCTTTATCTTGGTTTTCTCAAGACAATCAATGGAGTTTAAATAAAAAGATTTTATTTTGAATTTTCACTTTAATTTTTCAAACTGACCGTCTTTCTGACTATTTTCGCTTGGCTAAATTTTGCCTAAATTCACAAATGGAAACTTCGCAATTTTATATATAAAATAACATCGTATTTGATCTATTTTTGCACTCCTTGCATTTATTTTTAGACCCATTGTGAAATTCTTTCGCCCAACATAGAGATTGCGCTGGCATTTATCGCTTGGTTCTGTACACCGTGCGAGAGCTGTGAGTTTGAACTCAAGGCTATATCATCTACCGGAAATTTAATAAACGTAATAACATATCACTATATTGTATTCTCATCTCAGATCCATACGAAACATGACTATATCCTTTATTCATGCTCGCACAGCCACTACATTCGTTGTCAAATTGGTCACTCAGTCACTTAACAAATTGTATTCGTTAGTGAACACTGAAATTCAATTTATCGATTTTATGAAATATAGAGGAAGAATAACACGAAAATGGTATTTTGAACTACGTGAAAATATCCTGAAAACGCACTTCTTCCCATGAACTCTCCAAATTGGATTATGAATTATATGAACGGATACTTTATCATAATTTACATCACATTTAATAAATTATCAGTCAGACAAGTTTCACAGCTTCGCGAGAGATAATAACTTTGGGTAGTGCTTTGTTAAAAATGCATGAATAAAGCCACCACTTGGTAGATACATTTCACCAGAGAATCGAGACTGTGCAACATTTCGGGAAAAAAATCTGTGATATTTCACCATTTTTCTATCCCCAGCACTCAATACAATCTGCCATATTGATAGGGTGGGAAAAGAGAATGTGTAGTACATTAATCACCTCTCAATTAAGAACTTTACAACACAAAGCACACTCAGCACAGAACTGTTTATGATGGGTAAGGAAATATATGGCTTATCCCTTGCACAACTCGTACTCAACTAACTTCTCGCGTCCAAATGGTGAATCTCTTCTATATAGTCATTCGTACACGAATAGGCAAGTCAAAGAAATGTAAAATTTTCCTCTACAGAGGAGATTTCTCATGTGAAATGTGCACTTGTGACCTCTCCATTTAATTATAAAACATCTCCTTCCTTCATGTGTGGCTACAAAAACGCAAGGGACACGGACAAAACTTCTACACACTTTCCAAAGCTGGCGATTAGACAGCACTTGGCGAAATAAACATGAGAAACACTGCCGACTTTCAATACTCACAGAACATTTTGATTTCTACACAATTCTACTGCGTCTGATAACCTTAGATGAAAATTCTCCACCACCCGTGCAGTGCAAACAAGTGGCTCTCTGCGCAACTCGTAGCCCCATGGAATTTCTGCTTCCGTCCATGGCATGTGAGGAAGCTCTCGCGAAGAGCTTTCATGTTTGCCGAAACTCTGCCCGCTGCGATAGTCTATTAGACACTTCTCGCCTAACCCCTTTTCTAGTCAATATGTGTAATAGTGGTGACGCGTTCCAGGCGTCTGACTCCACCTCTGCTTGGCCAATCCATATAGCAGCAGCATTCCATGGTGAGGAGAATCTCAAAGTGTTCCGTGGAATGATCAAGAAATGGGTCAATACCTGACATGGAGCTCCATATAGCCATCTCCATTCCGCATAGTACTATGCATGACACACCACCGTATACTAATGCGATGTACGGAGAAACACCTCTCAAGGAGCACGAATGAGTAACATGTTCTTCTGATAGTAGGAAAGCCAGCGCAATTCACTTAATTAGTTAGAGCTTTTAAAGCGCGACGTGTCAAAAAAAAATTCCCACTGTTACTCTCAAATCTGTGGTAATGCCGGGTAAGCATTTTGGCTCTCAACATAACAAGCATGCAAATTGGTGGTCACATGCAAAACGTCAGTAGCATGAAAAACATCAATGTTGATAAAACTTAAAAATTCACACATTTATGTACAATATTACATGAAATTAATTGTTCCTTTGATGTGTTAGCCAAGCAAACCCTGAAATAGAAAAAAATCACGCTATTACAACTGTGCCAATTTTTTTTACCTCTCCCTTTATTCAAATTTACAAACATGCAAGAATGTTTTCAACATAGAACATGCACAGACTTCTCCGGAAGTCAATTAATCTTCTCATGTGAGATAAGCTTGAATAATCCATTGCAGTGACACATCCCTTTGATGCCTCACGTGCTGCAATAGATATATTATTTTATTATATTGCTAGGAGGATTTATTAATTATATACACAAGCTTCCGAATTGGAAAAGTTTTTCCCAAGTATGAACGATTATCTCGTCAAAAAGTCGATGTTACTTTGAGAGGAACTTTACTACTAATATTGCCATATATCTTTTACTTCGAAGGTACATTAATTCGTATCAAAATCAATAGCATAAATAAGAAACGTGATGTACACATTTATGTTTATGATTTATAATTATGACTCTCGAAACTAAAGCCTCTGGCTTAGAGATTTCCCTCTGATAAGATTTAATTATTATTTATTTAGTCAATTCCAATAAGTTTGTGATTTCGACATTTTTTTTACACAAAACATCACGTTAACATTTCTTTCAAAAACTCTTGCCAAAATCACTCTTAACATCTAGCACTGAGAATATTATTACAATTTAAGCATTTCTCACATTTATTGGACGTCTACCAAAAGTTGAGAGCACTGAAACTATATCAATATTTCAGGATTGACCAGATTGACAATGAACAACTTTCGGGTCGGTTATTTGAAAAGTTCGGCTAAACTTTAATTCCTTCTCGCATTAGAGAAATTTTAATTGACATTCCTTTTCGAGACACTTAAAGTGAGCCTAATTTGTTTCCCGCTCTGCCACTGTCGGAATCTGAAAATATTTTCAGTAATAAAGTACAACGTGTGACAGCTTTATTTGAGACCCCAGCAACGATTTATCTCTCTGGCCGCGCATGCCGTCCAAAACAGCTGTATCATTGAATTCCTCAATGAGCTTCTCAACAACGCGCAAAGTGGTCATTATTGACTACAAAACACACTCACATCGCGCTTGATGGTCGCACCTCAATATATGGTCATGCTCTCCTAGCATTTGTAATTCTTATTCACCAAAAAAAGTGCTGCCCAACTGTGGCATTAGCATGTCATTATGCAGCAGAGACATCATACTGAATTCTAAGAAGAGGAAAGCGAGCAGAGATCGATATGATCGGTGAGAAATCGCCCTCCATCGTGTTGGTCTCGATAGAGGCGAATTGTCGTCCGTGGGTAGAGAAAAATCTCACGATTGCAGTCTTCAGCGCAGGCGAATTAAGTTTTAAAATTAGTTGCGATCAAGTCACAGTGTAAGTCAGTTCGAGCGTCAAGTGTAGAACAGCAGAGAAATTGTATAATCCATTATTATTTAATTTATTTTATAAATAATAGCCGCGCCCTGTGGCTTGTGTTGAACACTTGGAGTGTGTATTTATATTTAGAAGTGAAGATTACTCTACCATTTCCCTTCAAACTATTTATTTATCTCACATAAAAGGTGGGCATTTTCCTCTCTTTCGCCCTTTCCATCTGGAATTTTGTTTATTCCAGCCATTCGGCACATTGCATTTGACACGAATTCAGTCATTCCGGACGGCTTTTCACGAGATGAACACCACTATCTTGTGGATATAAGAATTTGTGAGCAGATTATGTATTCTAGAGACGTTTCATTGCGCATATGGTGAATGTGTTGGAGAGGAAACTTCAAACCTGCACTCCCATATATGATCAAGTTGAGCCGCACACGAATTCGAACGTACCCGAATCAGTAGTCAACCTTGGTCAGCATCTCGCAATATTTACTCTCTTATATTTCGTACAACAACAAAAATCCTCACCCAGACATTCTGAAAAGCGCGCGCCCGCCGAAAAATTCTCATCTGAATTTGTGTTTCAGGCTTATTTTTAACTTTATGATCGGTATATTTCTTCAACACCTCTGCTGTGTGTGTATGGGAATGGATAAAAGGCACACACACATCATCGCGCTAATTAAACACATAACCTACAAAAATTGTCTTACGCCTCTATTTTCGCGGATATATCACATGCACCATATTTTCACCATGAAATTTCATTTGTGGCGCCGACAGAGAGTTCTCTTTCCCGGCCAGAGGCGAAATTGTGAAAATGTTCTGTGAGGAAAATATTTTCAATTTAATTTTACGGCATTGGAAACACCTTTGCGTTTGATCTTTACGTAACAATGTTTACAATTCGTCACAGGCTTGGTCTGGTGAGCATTTCATCTGCCGAATTACAATTACTCATCAGTCGAGAGCTTAGCTCGATGGAATTCTTGTCCTTTCCCTTCAACAATTTAAATCCATGGGAATAATCATAAATTCTGTGAGGAATGTAAAGAGATTGCCATCAAACTTTATGTTTGATTTCGTTGATTTCAATGTACTGAGAGACTGAGCAGTAGCAATACTCATAAATACATTTAAAAAAAAGTCGTTTTTGAAGATAAATTGGAAGATGAAATTCGTTTTTATATAAAAGTCCTGATAAAATTGTGTTAGTGATCAGCCTTGTCTCGCAAGACGTGTATATAATCCTCCAGAAGTTCAATGGAGTTCATATAATGAGATTTTTGTCGTTTCTTCATTGGGAATTCCATCAAACGAATTCATCCGAAGGTTTCTCTGATGCGTGATGCAATTGCACTCTGCAGAAACAATAATCGTTTTAGTTAAGTAAATGATCTCGAAGCGTGGGTAGGAAAGGATGATGTCATAGGAGAGAAATTTGGTTTCCGACAATTACTATTTATTCAATAAATTACACCTATTTGTCCTCCTCCATTCGTGCTCAGACGGTTCTCTTCTCAAGCATTTTCCCCGAGAATTTACGGTGAGACAAAATTGAAACCATATGCGAAAATTTCTGCCAAAAGCAAGACAAAAGAGTATAAAAAAAAGCTCTGTCCATTTTGGTTTCAGAAGACCGAGTAATTTTCGAGGAATTTTCATTGCCGTGCCACAAGGGCATTTAGGCGGCCCACGTTTACCATAAAAAGCAAAATTGCTATATGCTCACCAAATATCACACTGTAGGTGTCAAATGCTCATAAATAAAACACGTTTTATCGTGAACGAAGAGAGACTTTTGTGAATGAAAATATTTTTGCGGCAAATTATGGCGGATAGTGTCGCTGAAAATACAAACCACATCTCAACAATAAGGTCATGTTTTCATTATTCACGTATTCTATAATTAAAGATGACAACCAGAGAACAGCGTACAGAATATTCGTCTAATGTGGTCCGAACGCTCCATCCATCAAGGCCCCTGTCGCCTACAAATGCAGAGTTTGATAGCAATTTAGGTATGATTTTGGGCACCGTGACAACATACATGCGAAAAAAGTGCACAAATTGTTCAAATTTTTTGCAGACTATCTCCTAGACGATCTTCAGCAGTCAGTCTCGCGTCCTGGCAGTTCCTTGGGGCAGAATGCCAGCTCGAATCTGACCTCTAGCAGGGAGATACAGTATTTGTCGCCACAGAACTCGTCCACGGTAGTCCGTGAGAGATCAGTCAGCCCCAGTGGCCAAGTAAAAGATTACTCTTCTCCATACTTTATTTGCCATTGACAAATGTTCTTCCGCAGAAATCTGAGAGACTGTACAAGACGGCAAAATATGAGTACAAAACATCGTCATCTACTCCTTCGTACAGCGCTCAGGCGAACATACATCAGCTGGACACACTCTTAGATGATCTGAAACATGAGAGGGAACTCGCAGTGGACAAGCTTGACAGAAGCAATAAGGATACAACTGACTCCTTGTAAGCTACATTAAATCAACTCAATCATATTTAAAATAATGGTCTTTAGTAGAAATGAAATGGTTAATATCATCTGACCATCAGTTGAGCATTTGCAAATATTGATGATATTTGATTTTGCTGCTAAATATTGTCGGAAAGCAATATAAATATTTTACTAATCGATATGATTGATTCATATTTGTAAATATTGCAAGAAGTTAATGTACGATCATAAATTTTCGGTTGAACATTACAGAATACCGGGAAGCACGAAAATCATTAAAACGACGTACTCTTCGTCCAGCAACCTTGGTGGCAGTAAGCCAATGGCTCAGAGGGAATTGCATTTTGAAACGCCCGTGAGCAACAAGTTGAAATCATCCCGACAGGAGTACAGCTCCAACTATGAAAGTAAAATTGAAAAGAGCTCTGCGTCACACGGAGATGTGTCATACGATTCTTGTAATTAGACTTTTTCTAATATTCTCCTCCGAATTGACTCATTCTGGGCATTTCTTTTGCAGATGCACCTGAGAAACTCGGGAAGGAATCAAAAACAATCATCACAAAGAGTTACAATCAGAGCAAGAGTCCCGTGACAACGATTAGTAAGGTAGATGGAGGGACTTTGGTCCACGATATTCCTGTGGAATCCGATATTCTTCCGCGTCCAGGAACGAAAGTCACAACGACGGTGCGCACGTACACATACGAGATTCCGCCAGAAGAAAGCCTTGGTACTCACAGTACCATCTACAAGAATGAATCTTTCAATCGATTGACCAACGACAGTCGTCGCAAACGAGACCTTTCTCCTACGACAAACCATTCACTGGTTTCACGCTCTGAGAATGTGTCAACGCTAACCAGACACGATGATCGCCCTGTCTCACCCTCGCCACCCATGAAGAGAATGTACTACCAGCAGGATACGCTGGAGACCACCAAAACGCGCACCTACTCGCCGACCAGGGACACGGGATACCTTCCGCCAGTGGATAGATCGATCACTTACAAGCACGACACAACGGACTCCACCAGGTCCGTGGTGAAACCTCCTCCACCAACAAACTGGAAGTCTAACCCTCCATCGGGTCAGCCGGGATCGACGTACTTCTATCGCGAGGAAACCAACACCACCACGAACAGACGCTTCCCTCAAGATGGATACGCACCTCCGCCTAATATGAATGGATATCCGCCGGTCAATCCCTCGCCATCGGTGAGCTACAAGTACAGCTCTCACACCACGACCACGAACAATGTGCACAGACTGCCTCCAGATGAGGTGGATGACGGGGTCAAGCTGGCTCCGTTCCCCACAGATGGCATCGAGAATGTGCCCAATAACACGCAACCGCCTAAGAGGCTGGATGATTTGCTTGCTTCATTCGGAGATGTGAGTAAACTCTCAGCTGCTCCATTAATAAACATTTACAGAAGAAGAGCAGACGAAGGAATATGATAAGCTTTGGGGAATTTCTGGTATTTACTAAATATTTGAGTTTGAGATCCTAAATCATATCGTGTAAGGGGAAATATGTTCTTGTGTTACATTTACAAAAGTTATTTCGATATTCACTAAAGCATTTAACATTTCTCTTCTCACTCTAGTCACCTCCTCCGAGGCATTACCACGAGGGTCAAATCCCCGAGAAGCCATACACTCTTACTAAGGATTCTCTGGTAGAGACTGCATCGCCTGAGCAGAAGATTCCAACAAAAAACGTCGCTGGACCGCCCGTTTACTATCCCCCGGGGGAGCTTTTCACCAAAAAGGAGGAGTCCGGTGCTGCCTGGAGAGCTCAAGTAAGATCTCAAATCATAACGTCGCATTTTAAGCCAATTGTCTGAGTGCAAGGTCACTTGGACTTAATTTAAATACAGTGCGCACAGAATTATACTCAATATTTACAATACTTTTCTAGGGTGGCTACGCTCGAGGTGCAGGAAAGTATCAATATGAGGCAGAAGAGAAGTCCAAGAGCAAAAGCAAGTCCGGTGGAGCTGTGGTGCCAGTTTGCCTGCCCCTCTGCTGCGCCATGCCCTGTTCCATCATGTGAAATGTTTGTTGAATCACAGCATAAGCAAGGAGCGATGGAAAATAATCGTGCTAAGAATAGAAGTCAACTTTGCGTCTAACAATTACCACATTTTTTTTTATTCGAAATGTATTTCTAGACAATTAATAATTGCCTTTTGAAGATCGAAGCTCTTTCGATTGGGTTTCGGCTGTGATGCACACGAAATCTCTAAGCTCACGTGTGCATCAGACTTACCTTACATGGTTGCCATACTTACCTTTGTTACATTGTTAAAAGGAGAAATATTTTTGTAACTGTACTGTAATTTTTACAAATTTTATGCTCAATACTTAAAGTGAACATGAATGTTTTTATTCTTAAATATTCCACAATTTACAAATTTGCCATAAGAATATACGTGATTCGCGTATAGACAATAATTAAATTGTTAAACTTTACTCACAGCATCTAGATGAATGCGTTAGATGTATGGAAAAGAAATATTTTTGTAAACAAACAGAGTTTTCAGCCATTTTTTATAACAAATATAACCTTTGTGTATTCTTTTTACAATATTCAATGTAACAATAAAAATCTCACTAATAGACCTACATTTTATGTGCTTTTAGTTATTTATATTTTCATTCACACTATTTTCATAGAAAAACTTTATTGGAAATTAGTAATTTCTCCTTAAATTGATTATGACATCTAATATGATGATATATTCTACCGATGACCTCAAATAATAGTTTTCATTTATAGTTTTATATTTATGAAAGGTCAATTGGAGAGTCAAATGAAATCAATGGCGTCACATAAATCAAACCTGACTTCATTTAAGTGTGAAAAACTTTTATTACTATATAATTGATGAAACTTTTCGATAAATTTACTTGTGATTTATCCCGCCAATCAATAACGAATATTTAACATCATCATATTCATACCTAAGGCCGATATTTTGGTTGTAGGTTTGACACTTTTATCGTATTTGTAATCCTTCAGCACGAAAATATTCAAGGGTAAAGTTTTAAATATGTATTCAATCCATAATGACTTTTCGTTATGAGTAGATGAATTTTTCAGAATCGATAGTGCGAAAATTCGATTTGATTCATGAAATGTGATTTATTTGTCAGCTAGAAAAATCTCAGGGTATTTATTTTGCAATTTTTCCCTCTATATATCTCTACTTCTATGCAACATTTGCTAAAAGTTGGCGCCCCGAGAGGCAACATTGCCAAAAAGATGTATTTTTGCGAACAGATGATGCTTGCAGTGCGAGGATTCACTAAGGTTGCATTTACTGGCTCACAAATGCCTTTCATTTTCCAAATCACTCAAATAAAGACAAGCACTCTCTGACAGTCGCCTTACATTCGGGATTTTATGTTTAGAAGAGAAGCCGTTCCTTCAATACATCTCTCACATCCGAACTGAGCACTTCACTCGCTCTGAGTCTGTTGGGAATAGTGAAGCATCTTTTGAATTGTAAGTATACACTTGTGAATTTTCGTATTTCAATCACACACTGGCCCTTACTGAAAGGTTGTGCTTATTGAGCTTTGAAAGCGTGGCAAACTGGAGAGTTCATTGAAGGTACAAATGGACGGAATTGATGGTTGTTTGAACTAGAAATTGAAATACTGATGGAATTGTCCTGTATGATGTCCATCCTCAGTGATAAATGCAGTTGATTACTGTGCCAAGATGTGTCATAATATAAGCATTCCTTTATCATTGTATTATAGTATGTTAAGAAGCAATGTCACAATGAATGCAATGCATGTCTCTGAAGATTTCAGCAAGTCTTATTGAATAACACAAATGAGCACCTCTTGTAAGCCCAATAATTGCCTCGTGCGGAAATGCAAAACGATTTCTGAGAGCAAAAACAAGACTTTCTCCAGGTTTGACCAGTTCCTCATGTGTTCATAAGTACACAAAGTACGCGATGAAAGTGAAAGTGCAGTATGCATCTGAGCAATAAATTTATGATTGACTCTCTGTGATATTGACATTTAAAGCTGAGCAGAAATATGTTCGATTATCTAATAGCCGAGATGAATGAGGAGAGAAGTTTTCTGAATTGCACTCAAATAATGCACAGGTATCAGAAATTTTCTGACCTATGAACATTTTTATAAATAAAACGGATTAAATACGTCGTTCATTAGGCACTGAAAATAAATCTTTGTCTCTTCATATGTATTTCACACCAATTATAAAACATTATACAAAACGTGAACAAGTGTAGTTGATTTGTGCTGAACCTTGAAATAATTTTGGGAAATTCAAAATAATTAAATGCTCTCTTAATGAATGTTTATATGCTAAAATATGGTTTAGTAGTGCAAATATTTGAGGAAAGATGAAAATGATGATTCAAATTTGGTTAGAGACTTAAAACTAATGATTATGTGCTAAAGTATAATTAACACTCTCTCTGTATAGGAACACAAGATTTCGTAAATTTATATTTTAATGATGGATATTTGGAAATTCTTCGCAGCGTATTTTGCCTCATGTGCCGAATATATTTCATTATATGATTTTATTAGCCCTTTCCCAATGATGCTGAAAGCTTCAAAATTTCTGCTCACAATCACGCACAATAAATTCTGTAAACTCTCTGTGCGAGTTGAATGAATTTGTAATTTGGTTTGTTTGATTGAATTCTCGGTAGCACTCCGCCAGGCACGCATGATTTCTCTTGCGATGCTACATAAAGGACTATTCATAGATTTGCTCAAATAAATATTATTCACAGAACAATTAAAAATGGAATCTAAATAAATTCATTCGAGATTGCTTACTTTATGGGTCTTTTTCACAAAAATTGTGCCTACCATTTTATGTCATAATGTGATGAACTTGTTGGGCTGTTTTCTAAAAAGAATTTTATGTTGCCGCTCAAGTAACTGGGGCGTCCCTCTGCCGACACATTTACAAGGAGTTCCCTGCTATTCGGAGAAGTTTGGGGGATTACAAGAAATTCAATGTGATCTTTCGGTTTAATGCTCACTTCTGTAGCAATTAAGCTTTTAATGGTATTTCCATTTATAGAAGTAATTCTGATTTTGTGGTAATTCACCGCTACAGTCACTGAAATTTTGGAGGATGAGTACAAATACACAGCTCTGAATATTGTTCTTTCATTCACTAGAGCCACATTTGTCATACTTTTAATTCCCACTTGCATTTCCTCCTGGAAAATTTCAATTAACACAGATTGCTTTTCTACATTGGAATCCAAATCAATTTCCCTAACAATCAAACTACCCACGGCTTCATCAATGTTCTCATGGGAAGTTTTCGCTACAACGTTGTATAAATGAAATCCTGGATGGGACAATCGAAATTTGTACCTAATGCTTGTTGATGCCGACCATGTTTTGCTGTGCAAAATTCGTTGTTCCTCCCGCGCTGACAAAACTTCACTCTGTCCATTCCAGTTGATAGAAACCGCAGATTCCGAAATGTTGTTTTGCACGTCAACCACAATAATATCATTTTCACACACTTCAATCTTCGGAGCTGCAATTTGCTGGTTAATTGCAATGACTTTCTTCTCGCAATTGCCACACAATGTTGAATTTCTATGACAGTTTATGCAATCACTGGAAGAGAAAGAGGAGATATTTGAGAAGGAGATGAGCATTAGTTAGTTTTGAGAAGCTCACCGATTGTGATAATTGATTGCCTCCACGCTGAACCGCAAGCGACAAATCATTGGGAGATCCAGAACATTGCAAGGACGTCGACACGACTTGACAGAGAACTCTTTTGAGTCATCCATCAGCAGAAGAGATGCATATTTATCGTGAAAGAAAAATAATTGAGCATATGAGTGGATAGGAATAGAACAGTGTGGAAGTTAGTGACATTTCCCAGAAACATTAGCGCGAAAGGCGCACTCAAAGAAATGCGCGTGGCAAAAGCTTTTTACTCCACATTGAAGAACAAACACAATCAACTGTCGATTCAATGGTGTATTTCTCTGAATGTACCAAATGATCTCTCGCGGTCTTCAAAATATTCCAATATCACAAAGCAGTGGGCTGCAGAAAGGATTTAAAAGTAAATTCTTACGGGGTCTGATCCATGTGAGTTGAATTGAGACGGCGGCCAACAAAAACATAGAGAAGAACACACAAGTCCGCGAAATAGTTATAATAACTTTCTTCCGGATCTTCTTGTACCCATAAATGTCACGAAGAACGTCAATGCTCTCCATTTTCCTATCATTAGCACTATTCAATTATATTCCTCGCAAAATACTTCCTCTCAGCAATAATGCTTTCCACATGGTGGACGCAGCGAGACTGTTGTCACCGACTATTGATCATTACAATGCTTCTCCAAGCCTTTCTCCCACTTTTTACCTTCTCCATTCTCGAAATGATCATACGAGTTTCGCGAGGCTCAATTGCGTAAGATCTCGCAGACACAATGCGAAGATATTTCTCTCCAAAGATGCTTCGGTGATTAATTTATTCGCCAGAACAGGCTTGATTTGTGGATCCACAAAACATGAAAGCAGGAACCCGAACAAGCATTTTACTTGCACAGATATTCGTTTACAATGGATTAACCAAATAAACGCAGAAATGTTAAAATACATGATTTAGTGACGAAGTTGATGTCTCTATCCAAAGCCTCAATCTCACTGTGAAGTAAAGAAGAAAATGTGAGGAAAGTAAATTCCACAATTCAATTGGGCCACCGTGTGTAATTTTATGCTGCTATAAATTGCAAGTAATGGCAAATTCTTAAAACTTAAATTGTTGCATAGCAATTGGGAGGCAAAATTTCTTATTTTCAAATAAGAATAGCGTTCTTTTTGTAGCCATATTGCACAATATATCATGAAATTTCGCTAAAGAAATGAACAGAGAATTTAGAGAGGAAAATGTCAGAAAATGAGGTCACTTTTATTGTTATTCCCTGCAATTTAATAGAAAAATACATAAAATTCTCTCATTAAGATACAACGAGAGTAATTTACAAGAGTTATGAAAGACAGGAGCATGAAGAATTACAAGAAATAAGTGATCCTAAATAGATTTTTCGGTGAAACACATGTACTCGTATATTTAAAACCATCACCGTCATCACAAAAGCGACTTTGTAACGGAGATATGTTTCCAAAAATACCATCAACTGTCAATCATTTAATATATAATTAAAATTTATTTGAATTACACAAGTATTCTTTCCACATATCTAAACATGTGCCTATTTCTCTGGCTCCACACCGAATCACTGTTGCGAGCACGTTTCCGATTGCAGTGTTGATTGACCATCAAAAATATGAGAGTGGAAAATCTCCCCATGTTAATTGCTACCACGTGGAGGAGAAGTGCAGATATTTTTCCTTCAGCTAGAAGCCTGTTCTTGTCCCGCACTTGTTATTTTTCCTCCAATTTATTGCTGACACTAAATTCAGGTGGAGCATAAATTAGAAAACTGAGGCTATTATTTTGGAAAGAAAATCGGGATAAGAGATCTTTTGATGCATTTATCTGCTGAGTTTTCAGTATGAACTCACAAATCATGTGAGTATGAGTCATGCTAAAAAAGTAAGCTTATGCAGGATTTAAACGATA